GGGATGTCTCCCTTAGAGGTAATGCTGATATGAAAGTTAATTGTTCTGTATATTCATACAGACACTCGAAATTATAGCCATCAAACATCAGTAACTGGCAATAAATTTGTAAAATGTTGATATTGAATGTATTTTCTCCTGTGTTTGTGTTAATGTCCTTCCTTTCTGACTGAATGACATGTTACATACTGAGCATCTCATTGGCTACAGTCTGCAGTACAGACATCTTACCTAAAGTAACTGACAGGAAAACCCGTGTTCCCACAGATGAACCTCTGGTGATCTCCACACCACACCAGTAGTAACCAGTGTCCCCAGTTGTCAGATTGATCATGGTCACATTGAAGATTTGCTTAACAGGATCATCTCTGATTAACACTTCATCGCTTATCTGTGGAGAGTCAGTGCGTACTATGGCAGTACATGAACTCCAGTCACTCCCATTGCACCAGTATTTCACATCTGTTTTATATCTGTTATCATAGAAACATGGGATGGTGACAGATCCTCCAATCTGTACAGTCACAGTGTTCAGTGTGGACAGACCTGCAGGGACAGTATGAAAGTTACCAAGCTGATTAACTCTCACGCCCTCTTACAATATTTATACACATATTAATACAGAGTCAGTGCCAGTCTACTCTAGGTTACATTACTTCACTTTACAGAATATTAAAATTTGTTTTGAACAAATGTTGTATTTACTACCATCGTATTTGCAAAAATATGAAAGCTGATCAATTCAAATAAAATTAGTCTACAAAAAACCTCCTTTGTTGGCTTGTACTTATTACTTTAAGTCAACAGCCACAGCTGCCACTGTATTTGCAAAAATAAAAGTGTAAAAAATGATAATGAAGTTATTAATTAGTATAAAATTAGTCTGCAAAGATCTCCTTTGCTGGTTTTCACTCATTCAAATTTACATAAGTCAAAAATCAGTAATTGACAGCCAAACTGATGCTCTTTTACAGCATGTTTATTTATCCCTGGGGAACCCACGGGGTCATATATGACCCTTCCTCTTATTTCTGCCTTACATTCAACCCACTCATCAAAGTTAAGAATTTTTTTTTGCTTTATAGCCCATTGTACCATATACGACCCAGTAACAGTGACATTTAGTGATTACTGACTGAATTAACCAGATTTTTTTCCACAATAAATATGACCCCCAACGCGTTTTGAGGTTGTTGCTGTACATGCTGCAAAGATTCACCTGTCAAGCTGTGAATTGGTTAGTGGCAGAAATTTTGCATCATCAGTTATAATGTTCAGATGTTATAGAACATGTACAACTAGGTTTTGGATGTTTTGAAACTTTTCTGGCAAGTGTGATGATCATGTTCCATGTGTTCAACACCAGCCTCAGACAAAAACAGAGGGAATGCAGGTGGTGCACCAGACCTTACAACCCACCACAAGTAAACGTTCTGTGTGTAGTACACCTTTTTGCAGGTCTGTTCACTTGGCCTGTTTCTTGATGGGTTGGCATGTTTGATCTCCTGAAAAGATGAGCTGATGTGTATTCACATTAGCTATAAATGACAAAACATTATTTGGCAAGTGGACCTCCTCCCATTAGGGGCAAGACCACAAGCTTCTGAAAATGAGATCCAGAAACTATAGTAAAACAGCCAATCGGGTCACTGATTACATCAGACAGTGTAAGCTGAATTCTTTTGCCAATTAGTATTTCCTCACCCCTGTATCTGCTATTAAATCTAGAATGAAAAATTTGACTAACCCATATTTTACGGAGTCTGTCATGATCTTCCAATCATAAATGTGTTTCTTGTAAAAATAGTATGTCTGCTTCTAATCATTTTAAATGAGAGAAAATGTTATTTATTGTAGCAAGTCCATTAAGCATTACGCCCATGGATTTACATTTCAAGATATAAACCTCACATGATGGCCTCCTACAGAAACCTACATTAGCAATAATAAAAGACATTCATAGCATGTGACTCAATACAATGTGAGGGTACAAGCTGCATGTGAGCACATGCAATGAAAATAAGTTTGTTCCTTTCATAACACTGAAAAGGAGACACTGTCGTGGTAATAACCATCCCCTTATAAGAACAAGAAAAAACATTTAACCCCCAAAACATAGATCTTCTTCCCCAGATGAGGTAGATCACAGGCATTATAAAGCGAAAAACTTCCAAAGCATTCCTCATACAATCAAAACTTTAAAACAAATCAAACTGAGGGCGGCATTAAAAAGTAATTACCTGTATACCTGCTCACTCCATGCTCAACCAAGAAGTCCGCAATGAAGTTTTAAAATAATAAAACAGTATATTTTGTGAAATTTTTTCTCCTGTGTTTGTATTAATGCCCTTCATTTCTGACTGAATGACATGTTACATACTGTGCATCTCATTGGCTACAGTCTGCAGTACAGACATCTTACCCTCAGTGACTGACAGGTAAACCCGTGTTCCCACAGTTGAACCTCTGCTGATCTCCACACCACACCAGTAGTAACCAGAGTCCCCAGCTGTCAGATTGTTGACGGTCACAGTGAAGACTTGCTTTGTGGGATCATCACTGATTGACATTTCACTGCTTATCTTTCTAGAATTAGTACGTACTATGAGAGTACATGAACTCAAGTCATTCCCTTTGCACCAGTATTTCACATGTTGTTGATATACTCTCTCATAGAAACATGGCGTGGTGACAGATCCTCCACTCTGTACAGTCACTGTGCTCACTGTGGACACACCTGCAGGGACAGTATGAAAATTACCCAGCTGATTAATTCTCACTCCCTCTTACAACATTTATACACATATTAACACAGAGACAGTACCAGTCTACTGTAGGTTACATTACTTCACTCTGCAAATTATTAAAATTTGTTCAGCGATCCAATTCTTAGTTCTTCCAGGCCCCATGGGGATTAATGAAGTGATTATTATTATTTAACATTTATTAAAATGTTGAATTGTGAAATGCGGTTCTTGTTTTTTATTTCCGCTTACTTAAGTAAAACAAGGTACTAATACTAAAGAAAGTGTGTTAACTATTTGCATGGACATTTTTGAGTAGAAAACAACAAAAAAAAATAAGGTAGAGCAACCTTATTTGAATGATGAGGTAACTTAATATTTCAATGAATATTGAATTAATATTAAGTAGGTATTAGTTAATTTAGCTTTTGGATATAGAAGGAAAAACATGTTTATTGTGCTTGATTTAATGGTGTAACTAACACATGCATTAAGTACAACCAATATGAAAATTCAAATAGTGCCCACTGAATATCGAGTAGATTCAACTTAATATAGCTTTTAGTGTATTTAATGATTTCTGTTGGTGTAATGATGATAG